CAGTGAAAAGGGACCCCTTTCAAACAGTGTCGCGTTCCGAACGTTGTTTAAGCGACATACTGCGCAGTATTGCGGTATTTTAAAAATTCATGTCATAACAAAAATAAACACCGGTATTCGGTATGAACCGGTATACCGCCCAACACTAAGCTGTAGGCCAACTTCCCTCAAGCTCAGTCCATGCAGAAGAACATGCTCAACTATAGTGCTTTGTATTTCATCAGGAACAAATTACCTTTGACCTCATCCCCTTCGTTTTTATTTTCCCCTCCTATTCCTCTTTGTCTCCCACTACCAGGATTAATTTTCTAAAACTCATAATCACTTGTGCTCTTGTTCATATCATCGTGAGATTCTGACCTGTGTGTCATCAGTTTTGCTACTGAATGTTCACACATGGATAAATGTGTGCTGTTTGAGTTCATTTTTTGATGCTTGAGTTAATTATATTGTGTGTTTGTGTTTTCTGAATGAGAACATGGTTAAACCTGTGCAAAATGATGGTGTTTTTGTGTAGAGTAACACTGCGGAAAACACTGAGCAAATTGGAACGAGTGTGCACGTTTAGGGGTAGGGTTGGTGTAGGGCAATAGAATATACGGTCTGTACAGTAGAAAAACCATTACGCCTATGGAATGTACCCATTTAGATAGCTAAGTAAACGTGTGTGTTTTTGTGTGTGTGTGTGTGTGTGTTTGCACGTATTGGAGAATGAAGCCGCAGAGGAAGCGTGGCAGATGGTGAAGGGGAGGATAAAGCACAGATTACCGTCAGGACAAAAGTCAAGTCACACTCACTCTCATGGCAGATGTCAGCGTGATTCACACTGTGCTGTTAGCTAGCATGTGTCTCATTGTGTGTGTGTGTGTGTGGACTGTTGTTGTGATTTGTTTTAAAGGAGGAAATGGAATGTGTGAAATGTGTATTCAGTGTTAATTACAAAGGGATCTCCAGCATCACAATCAATTTTCTGTTTCAATCGGTCCAACTCCTCAGTGCTGGGTCATGTGGCTGGATGCCAGGATGTGGCTATGCGGTTGCTAAGTTGTTATGACTGTTTTAAGCATGTTGCTTTTTAGGTTGCCAGTGTTTTCTGGGTGGTTGCTAGGTGACTGCTTACTCAGGGCAAAAGTCAGTGTTTTCTGTTTGAAAGTTTCTGGATTCTGTTTTAAATGGTTTGATTAAATTTGTAATAATCAAAAAGGATGTCTAAACAATTGAATTAATAAAAGTTTAACAATTTAATAATTCATTACATTTTTAACCACACACTGTTAGACAAACCCAGCTGTTTTTACAAAATAAAACTGGTATCTGTTATACAGTAAAAAACTAAACAACTTGCAACTTGTAAATCTTACAGTTTAAAACTGTTGTAATTTACAAAAACAAAAAAATCCTTTAACATGGACCACTGACACTCCTAATTGAGATTGTAGATAGAGTGTCAATGGTCCATTTGAGAGATAAGTGGCGGGAATGCACTTATAAGTCTGCGTTCCGCTGTAAAGCAAGAAGAAGAAGAAGACGCC